CCCCTACAGATGAATCAATAGTATGTTGTATTACAGTGGGGCAAAAAAGTATTTAGTCAGCCACCAATTGTGCAAGTTCTCCCACTTAAAAAGATGAGAGAGGCCTGTAATTGTCATCATAGGTAGACTTCAACTATGAGAGACAAAATGAGAAAACAAATCCAGACAATCACATTGTCTGATTTGGAAAGAATTTATTTGCAAATTATGGTGGAAAATAAGTATTTGGTCACCTACAAACAAGCAAGATTTCTGGCTCTCAAAGACAGAACTTCTTCTTTAAGAGGTTCCTCTGTCCTCCACTCATTACCTGTATTAATGGCACCTGTTTGAACTTGTTATCAGTATAAAAGACACCTGTCCACAAACTCAAACAGTCACACTCCAAACTCCACTATGGTGAAGACCAAAGAGCTGTCGAAGGACACCAGAAACAAAATTGTAGACCTGCACCAGGCTGGGAAGACTGAATCTGTAATAGGCAAGCAGCTTGGTGTGAAGAAATCAACTGTGGGAGCAATAATTAGAAAATGGAAGACATACAAGACCATTGATAATCTCCCTCGATCTGGGGGTCCACGCTGTGGGGTCAAAATTATCACAAGAACGGTGAGCAAAAATCTCAGAACCACATGGGGGGACCTAGTGAATGACCTGCAGAGAGCTGGGACCAACGTAACAAAGGCTACCCTCAGTAACACATTATGCCGCCAGGGGCTCAGATCCTGCAGTGCCAGATGTGTCCCCCTGCTTAAGCCAGTACATGTCCGGGCCCGTCTGAAGTTTGGATAATCCAAAAGAGGACTGGGAGAATGTCATATGGTCAGATGAAACCAAAGTAGAACTGTTTGGTAAAACACTACAACTTGTCGTGTTTGGAGGAGAGAGAATGCTGCATTGCATCCAAAGAACACCATACCTACTGTGAAGCATGGGGGTGGCAACTTCATGCTTTGGGGCTGTTTCTCTGCAAAGGGATCAGGACGACTGATCCGTGTACAGGAAAGAATGAATGGGTCCATGTATCGTGAGATTTTGAGTGCAAACCTCCTTCCCTCATCTTTTTAAGTGGGAGAATTTGCACAATTGATGGCTGACTAAATACTTTTTTGCCCCACTGTATATAGAACAATATCTGGAAATTATTTTTTAAAAAATCTAGAACTAATATGTATATTATGTCAACCAAAGTTTTCAGTAATTCCAAAATCTCCTAACTTCTTAAATGTGTTCCTTGGGAGAAATACCTAAAAGCCATGAAGCAAAAGATGGAAAGGGTAAGACTCATGGCTGATGCTACAAGCCATTTCTATACCTGTTTAATTTTTAAATGGATAGACAGAAAGCTTCCAGTAAGACAATTTGAGTGTTGTTTGGTGGAGAATGGCACAAAGTAATGGACTACTGCAATGCTCTCTACATGGGGCTCCCCTTGAGGAGCACCCGGAGGCTCCAGCTGGTCCAGAATGCGGCCGCGCAGGTGGTTATGGGAGTGACGTGGCGCTCCCATGTGACCCCCCTCCTGCGCGAGCTGCACTGGCTCCCGGTGGTCTTCCGGGTGCGCTTCAAGGTTTTGGTTACCACCTTTAGAGCGCTCCATGGCATCGGACCGGGGTATCTACGAGACCGCCTTCTGCTACCAATAGCCTCTCACCGACCAGTACGCTCCCATAGAGAGGGGCTCCTCAGGGTGCCGTCGGCCAAACAGTGTCGACTGGCGGCCCCCAGGGGGGAGAGCCTTCTCTGTGGGGGCACCTACCATCTGGAACGAGCTCCCCCCAGAGATACGGAAGATCCCGGACCTGCGCACGTTTCGCCGTGCTCTCAAAACTTTTCTATTTCAGCAAGCTGGCCTGGCCTAACTCCCCTCTTTTAAATTCTTAAATTTTAAATTTTTTAATTTGTGATTTTATAAATTGGGTGTTTTAATCTGTGTTTCGGCCAAAATATTTAATAATTTTAAGGGATTTTTAATATTTGTATTGTCTGTATTTTATCTTGGCTGTTCACCGCCCTGAGTCCTTCGGGAGTAGGGCGGTATAGAAATTTGATTAATAAATAAATAAATAAATAAATAAAAGCAGATGCGAGGAGCTAGAACAAAGACACAAAAGCATCTGATTTTTTAAAGAACCTTTTTTTAGCATTCAAATTCAGTTGCTAAACCTACACACTATATTCAGTCCAAATTAGAGAATTTTAATTGTCTTGTATTATCTTTTTCACTTTTCAATACATTGTAAGCCGCCCAGAGTTGCTATATAGGTGAGATGGGTGACATAAAAATTTAATAATAAATAAATATAACTAAAAATATATATTTAATTTATAAATTTATTTTAATTGATATATTTAATTTATAATTAATTAATTATATTTAACTTATAAAATAAATAAAATACTTGATGCATGCTAAGATACAGGTAATCCTTGACTTACAACCACAATTGAGCCCAAAATTTCTGTTGTTAAGTGAGATATTTGTTAAGTGAGTTTTGCCCCATTTTACCACCTTTCTTGTCACAGTTAAGTTAAATCGCTGCAGTTTATGTTAGTAACCTTAGTTAAGTGAATTTGGTTTCCCCATTGACTTTGCTGGTCAGAAGGTTGCAAAAGGTGATCATATGACCTTGGGACACAGCAATGTTCATAAATATAAACCAGTTGCCAAGCATCCAAATTTTGATCACATAATCTGAGGAGGCTGCAAAGGTCATAACTGTAAAAAACGGTCATAAATCACTTTTTTCAGTGCCATTGTAACTTTGAATGGTCACTAAATGAACTGTTGTAAAATGAGGACTACCTATACTACAGCTCAGCAGGATACAGAAATATATTCACTGAAATTTCCCATAGCTTGAAAAATTCAGCAGGGCCATTTCATGCAACACTTTTCACTCCATGAAAAATATAGTATCTAAATCAACAGTAGTTTATGAGCCAACAATGAGTACACTCAAACAGACTAAATACAAAGTATTCAGCTCTTACTTACCTGTTGAAATAAAAATTCTCGCTCATCCAGAAGTCTTTTTAATCTAATGTCTATAAGAGAGAAAAAAAGATACAAAACACTTGATATTTTACACATTTTTAAAGAAAGGTAATGATGGTTAGTGGGGCAAATGATAAATGAAATTATGCACGTACCACAGTAAATGATGTCACAGACAGGACTGGGAAGGGATTTTCAACCAAGAGAGGTTATGCCAATCTCACAAAGCATGCTTGTCACTTCAGTAGAAGCACCCAGCAGCATGCAAAGCGCTATCTTCTACTGTTAGCATGCAGGTATTCTATGGTCAAACACTGGAATACAAAAATCTCACAAATCTTTTATTGTTCAAGTATATATAATTTTACAACATAAATTTTAAAACATAATAATCAAACTGTGAATAGTTGAAATGTTATGAAAGCGACCTCAGATTATATGGGAATATGAATCTAGCACCTATCTACAATAGCTTTTTTTGTAGAATTGTTCAGTATTGCAGAGGCCTCTACATAATCTAGGAAAAGTTGTATCTGTTTTAAGATGCCGCAGACAACTGCATTCATTCATTCTCCTGTATGCTTAGAGGCATTTTCTGGCACCAGAATTCAAAGCATTGCACAACCCTACATACTGATACATTCAGACACAATATAAAAACTCTACATGTTTTTCATAAACTGGAATCTAACACTTGCATATGATGGTTTTAGATTTTTCCACATTAAAAGATTTGTCAAATATAAAGAGTCCCAAAAATTTGCTACTGTTTTCAATTGCACAAAAATAAATCTAGATTGCAAAACATCCATTTTACTTCAAAATGTGAAATGTTATCCATTTTATACAAAATAATTACAAAGTGTTCCATACATCTAAGTTAAAGAGAATTAATGGCCTCTCACAAGCCACATATAGAAATCGCTTCTTTAAAATCTCTTTTAAGATAAGGGCAATACCGCATTCATGGCTCTCTCTCCTGCCTAAGCTTTAATTTTCCTTTTAGATTATTTTTATAAATGGGAAATTAGCAGCCACAAAGTACCAGTGTCTACTATTATTTACATTTACCGCACAACAATACCTTTAGATCCATATATGCCAAACATTCTTAAGAGATAAGAATGATAGCTGGCTGAAGGTCAGGTTTGGAATTATATCCTTTTTTAATTAAAATGTTTAAAAGCTAAATATTGGATTTCATACACAATGGTACCAGTTGGAAATGTCTTCTTCTCTTCGCCTAACCTTTTCTCCCTTTCAAATAATTTGTATTGGGTGGCTCCCTAACAATTTGGAGCAATTTGTTTTACCATCAAATATACACAATGGGATATAAGCAAACAATTCTATTCTGACAGTGATTAAGTAACCAAATGATTCACTTCATGGAGTTGAATACAGAACATCCAACCTTTTTATATTATAAAATATAATATCATATCATAATATAATATCACTTGGAAGGCCAAGTGATTTTCACATTTATTTTGGAGATCATTAACTGGCTTTTCCCTAATTTAATATTTTTGCGGCAAATAGTAAACTGTTCAATATTTTAGAGGGTTCTAACTAATAACATAATAAAATTATGAAAAAATACAATTTGTTTGCAAAAAAAGGACACTTCTGTAATAATTCCACATAAATTAATCCAGCAGCATGGAGCATACTCAAAAACTGACAATAGTTCAAGTTCAAGTTAATAAATTTAGTAAAGAATAAGTAGTAAAGAATATACATATTTACTGAAAGCAAGAATATTTGAATTTAGTGGAAATCTTAGTCACAATTCTTAGTCACAATGTAATGATACACTGGGCACTGAGTGAGAATTCTTTAATGTAAAACAAATTATTTTCTAATGAATGGCTACTACATTAAGAGTAAGCTGAAAATAAAATTTTAAGATTAAGATATAAAATTATATATCATGAAACTAAGGATAAATAAGCATTCCTTATAAATTATGTTGCAGGTATAAAACATTTAGACAAGACTATAATTATTCAATCTCACCTTTATTATATTTATAAAGAATTCAAGTGAATATACTTAATACTCCTTCCTCCTATTTCCATACAGTTACAATAATTGCTGCCTAAGGAATATTAATACAACTTTATGTAGTATACACATATCCAGTGAAACAACTGAGCAGTATAACCATATCAGATAAAATAGTAATTCTTGTCAATGAGTTTCTTCTCTCTCCTCTTCTCTCCTCTTCTCTCATCATCCCTCATCTTTTTTCCCTCCCAAAAGGTAGAATGCTTATTTTACAGATACATTTCTCAGGATAGGGAATGAGCAATAATTATTAAACAATTTCTTTAAAACTATTAATATGTCTTTTAAAATATTTATATGTTTTGCTGAAATGACAGTTGCACAAAATATTAGAACTATTAGTTAAATCAATTTTACAAACAAATGAGAAGAGACATTTTAAACTATAAAACTTTATTTCCATTATATACATTAGATACTATGTTATATTTTTAATGTTTTTCTATTTTTATGTAATACACTATTACACTGCTATATAGCTATACAAATTTTAGAGTTTGCATTATCTTAATTTTAGTATGGTAAAGCAAATGTTGAATTACTTTATTCATTAAAAGTGTTCCAAGTTTTTATATGCTCATAAATGTTTTATGTTTTAAAAAATTTGATATGCTCATAAATGAAAAACTTTCAGATTTATTTTAGCCATTATTAGTTAATAATGGAAAATTATTCTTTCAGAAAAAGAAGACAGTGTGTTAAATAGTTTTATCATAAAACTGCAGTAGATATTATCTTTCATTTTGTGATTTAAATAGAGATAATTATTACAGAGACAATCAAGACTTATATTCCAGCAAAAATTAAAGGGATAGATTTCCCAATATAAGAAAATATTGGTTTACATTCAACATTCAATATCTATTTCTTTGCAAGGCAATGCAAAGAACAAATGATAGTTTCTTTTAAGTAAATAGATTACAATTTGCAGTAAATATTGCTTAATACAAAGGCTAAATATAAAGCGAACTGAAAGTTTTTATCATACATGAACCTACATAGATTACATTGAAAGAGACAGAGGAAGAGAGACAAAACTATAAATGCTAAATTGGATCAAGAGCATGTCATTTATGTATCAATTGCAGAGATATTAAGTTTAATTCACTGATTTAAACCAACAAGAGCTTGATTTGGTAAGAAAAGGCTGAATTGGCTGTGACTGAATTCTATGATTCTTAGTAAATGATTTTTACTGTAAGTAATAGTGCTTTATGTATAGATCTTTGCCATCTTTGAAATGGTATTAATTTGAAGTGAGTGAAACATACACAGCGAAAAATTGCTACTTCTCTAAAAATTGTCATAATTTCATTGTTATTCATTCAGCTTGACCTTGTCTTTTTGTTCAGAAAGTGTAACAGTATTGAAGCTAAAGTTCTATATAATAACTTGAAATCAAATATAAATGTATCAGACTAGTGACATTTTATCAAAAAGCATGCATCCTAATCATTCCCAAGAATTTTCCAATCCTAGCATTCATTAAAATTCTTAGAGAACAAATACTATATTTGATGGAATATTAAAAAGCAGCTCATTGGGAATTAGTGTAATAGCTTTAATTAGACTATAATTAAACTTGACAAAAAAGGTAGCCTCCACATGCATACATTATTGACTACTTTGCATTATTTAGAGTATGACATTAATTTAATGGTAGAACTTCTTTCAAATTTTGACTTTTTAAAAATTAAAGATGTAATTTTGTTCTTTAACAGATGCCAGGTGAATGATGTGGAATAATGATCCAGTTTCTGAGTTTATGATATAATGCAGTCTTCCCGAGATTTACCTTTACCTTTCTTATACCTTTGTGTTTCGTCTTGACTTTCATCCATAGCACTCTCCAGGTTTTCCAACTGTTCTGGTGTATGATCAGCAATTTGTACTGAGCTGATTTCATCCAACAATTTACATTCCTCTTCCAGCTGCCCACATTGTGACTCTGTTGTTTCAGAAACAGATAAATCAATCTGCACAAATTTGACTTCTTCAAATTTATGTTCTTTCAGCTGCTGAATAGTGTCACTTTCTTCCACAAAAGCTTCAGATCCAACATCATCGGATGAGATTAAGCTGGCTTTGACCTTTTCATTATCTTTATTAGTCTGAACATCTCTCTTTTCAGAAGTTTTTAATTCTCCAAAAGAAGCCGCATAAACATCTAAGGCTTCATGATATTCTTCTACAATTATTTCTTTACTCTCAGGCTTGTTTTGTTCAATGAATTCAGTCTTCTGTGTTTCGAGACAAACAACCTCCTCAATATCTGGCACAATACTGTGAATTTCTTCATGCAGCTGTCTGTAATTTTTACCCTCTTTATTCCTAGTGCATGCTTCTTCAGTACCCTCTTTCATTGTAGTTGTAGTTACAGCAGACTCAATAGTATTGTCTTCTTTATCTACACTCTGTTTTCCTGCAGATAAAACTTCTTTATGACTGCCAGCAACTTCTTTATTTATCATATCAATATCACCCAGAGCTCCATCTATGCAAGCTGATTTTATATTACAGTTGGAATCATTCTCTATGTTTGCATTTGTTTCTTTATGGGTCTGGCATTTGCTTTGATTTATATAATCTACAACATCTTGTTCTGCAAGAATATCTTTCATAGTACATTCATTGTTCTTTTCCTCAAAATCTAAATAAGCATTTAATGCCTTCATATCTTCAACATTTTCTTTATTTGTTCCTAACTCTTGCTCATTTTGTTTCTCAACAATTGCATCATGTTTTGAAGGTGGTGACTGGATTTCTTCAATTTTAACTTGTTCTTGTTCCTCTCCAAATTCATTCAAAGTAACTTTTGTAATACACAATGTTCTTTTTTGTTCTTCTGCAGAATCTACTACTTGGTCCTCCTGCTGCAGTATCATACTTTGTGCCTCCTTCTCTTCATTTGTTTCACACATTTCTATTTTTGGCCCTTTTGTTACAGTATTTATGGTAGGCTTTTGTTCATTTTTAAGAAATTCTTTGTTTAAATCTCCCTCAACAACCCCATTTTTTGATTGTTCACTATTAAGATCAATACTAGAGGCTTTCATAAGGATAACGTCTACCAATTCTGGTGAAGTAGAAATTGCCATGTGGCCATTATTTATAAAATCTAAAGCTTCCCAAAATACTTCACTATTCACTTCTGACTCATCAACTACAATATCTATTTGTTTTTCTTTATTTTGCTGTTGTGGAACTATTTCTAAATTGGCATGTATTTCCTGATTGATCTCAATACTTGGATCTGCCATATTATTTTGATTAGGAGTTACATTTATATTTCTATCAGATACTTTCTCTTCTAAAATATGACCTGGTGAAGCCCCTTCAAGTTTTAATTCACCTGAATATCTTTTTTGAAGAGAATAAACAATTTCTGGGATATATTCTGAGTAACTTTTTACAGGATCCTCAAGTCCACTATTTAATTTCAGTGTTGATGTAATTTTGGCTTCAGTGACTTTCTTAGTCTCTACATTTTCATCATCAGGCAATGTCTTTATTTCCAAACGTTTGAGAATGATTTCCTGATCCTTAGTGTCCTCTGTGTTTTCCTCATGCTCAGTGTTCTGCAAGATTTCTCTTTTCCCCATATTCTCCAAAATCTCATTTTCCATCTCCACTTCATTTGCTCTGCCTAAAAGATCATTATAAGAAAGTTCAAGGGACCACAATATAGATACATCATTTAAGTATGCTATCACTTACCTTTCCACTTAAAACCCCAAAAAAGAATTAGTATAACATGTTAAAAAGTATCCACTTTTGCAAATTATATGAATGCAAAGGAAGAATGTAATGTAAAATATCTGAACACAAAAGTGTATCACTGTCAACTATATTGAATTTGTATTACTTCAGTGGATTGTACAAATTAAAATTTCTTGGTTTTAACTTTGTTAATAATAGAGCCAATAATTTAAATACACAAAGTTTTGTTAACTATGTTAATGGAATATATGGCTGGGATAAATCTCACTGTAATTAATAACTGTTATAAATAACTATTATGAATAGCAATGTAATTAATTTTACAGGCAGGCCTCAACTTACGACCATTTGTTTAGCAACTGTTAAAAGGTTATGATGGTGTTGAAAAAAAGGACTTATGACTGGTCCTCACATGACCATCACAGTGTGTCTGTGGGCCATGACTGCAATTCAGGTAATTAGCAACCAGCATTTACAATCGTTGCAGCATTCCAAGATCATGTGATTACCATTTACAATCTTCCCAGCTGGCTTATGATATTTATGACAAGCAAAATCAATGGGGTAAACCGGATTTGCTTAACCATGGCAAAAAAGGTTGTAAAATCAGGGATAGTTTTGGGATGACTCACTTAATGACCACATTGCTTAGTGAGCAAGGTTTTGGTCCCAATTGTGGTTATAAATTAAGCACTATCTATAATTACTACCTAAAACAACATTTTCAAGTGCTTTTTGTATACACTGCTGGGAACCAAAGCAAAGTTAATGTCTACAAATAATATATATACAATATATTATGCTTAATATATTGAAATGAAATTTACAATAGGAATATAGGTAAGCTAGCTTTAAATTATTTGGTTTTCCTGAAATTGGGAATTAAACAACACCCAATTAAACTCTTCTCACCAAAAAAACTCACACTTTAAAAAAAATTAATGGCCTTAATTTGTATTAATGGCCCTTTGTTGTATTAAGGAAAAGTTAACATGTGTAGATGCAGAATATTATTGTTAAGATTATAAACATCTTCAAGCAAAAAGTGATCATATATAGTATCTTAATACAATGCAAATGCTTACCTTCTCTATAATCCTCAGATACTTTAAAGGCATGACTTGTCTCTGAAACAACCTTGGAAGAATTTGATAGTCCATCCTTAGCAACACAATCAGAGATTTCTCCATTGGTAGCCACTCCTAAATTGGTGATTATTCCATATTGCTGTGAATGCAAAACAAAATATATTTATAACATTCAATTCCATGTAAAGTATGTTTGCAAAAACTGAAATCCTGCATAATAAAATCACATGAATGCAGAGTATCACACTAGTATGAATATAATAACTAGATAACAGTTCTAAAACTTTTGCAGCAGGTGGTGATCTTCGTAGATTATGCTACTATCCTAAATGAAAACAATTCATGATACAGCTTCGTGCTGCACAGGTGGCATGATTAACAGTCCCACTCCAGTAGCTTGACATTTTTTCATATATTCTGTTATCTAATACTAATTCTTCCTAATTTCCAAATATAGCTAAATGCACTTCAAGTGCAGCATAACAAGAGAATATAATTAGTTAAGAAAACAATGATGCGCCACTGCTAGTTTAAGCTCATCAAATAATGGAACACTTAAGGAAGGTTCTTTCTGGTATACTGAAATAAAATGCTATTATTTAATACCACTACCTTTTATACTTTATATTTTTTTGCTTTTGTTTGTTCATTTGCTTTATCATACCTTTAATTGTTCCTTCAGCAAAATCACCTCCTCTCTAAGATCATCTCGCTCACTTCTTAGGGAATCAAATAAGACTTTCTGCCTTTCTAATGCCTAAGTATTTAACGAAGAAGCAGAAGATAAAGACACTAAAATCAGAAAAGAGGATATAAAGATTAAGAAATTTAGCAATAAGAATCAGCAATTTTAGATCCACAAGATAAAAGATTTGCATAAAAGAAGAAGGAATGCTTATTTACAGAAATTTCTCTTAACTAACATTAAGGGAGCCCTGATGCACAGTGGTTAGAATGCAATATTGGAGGCTAACTCTGCCCACAACTTGGAGTTTGATCCTGAACAGCTCAAGGTAGATTCAGCCTTCCATCCTTCCAAGGTCGATAAAATGAGAACCCAGATTTGGTGGGGGAGTGGGGAGGGGCAATATGCTGACATTTGTAAAATGTTCAAAGAGTGCTGCAAAGCAGAGCAGTATATAACTCTAAGCACTATTGTTAATAGCTGGCTTCATGTTTCAATTTCCACTGAAAATGGTTTCCCTAAACACTCTGTCACTAACTTATCAAGGCAAGCCTAGTTCTATTTTAATTTCTTCACAATCTCTTTTTATGGCTATTACTTTATATACAACTCAGAATTGCAAATAAGGAGCTCCTCCTTCCATTCTGATAACCAGTGAATTCCATTACCGCTACAGTTGGCATACTCATTACATTACATTACATTTGTATTACACATAATATTTCTCTTTCATTACAGAAAGAGAAATATTATGTGAAATGCAAATGTAATGTGTTGCATATTAATGAAAAATAATATTTAGTTCTGCTCTAAAGCCAAAGGTTTTTAAATTTTTAAATTTGCAGTTCTGCTGTTTGTGCTAAGAAATATCCTAAATCTAGAATTCACTTTTAAGGACAAGTATTAACCGTATTATAATAAAAGGAAACCATTCAACCCTCTTTCTTCTGAAGGCTAAATAACAGAGAATGATCCAGTGACAGATGATGTTGAAGTGTTTGTTGCTAAGATTAAATGTTCTAGATAATGATAAAAACAAATTTGAGGAAGACCAGTCTGCAACTTAATGGTCCTAACTTGCTTGTCTATCCTTTTGTTAATAAATCTCTAATAGAAGGGGCTATTTTAATCACATTGTTGGAGTTAAATATTAAAATCATCTTTAAAAAAAACCTGCCCTTTTTTAACAAAAAGTGCTTGAGAATGTAATAGCCAACCAATTTCAGACACTTTTAAAAGATATTTTGCTACAATTCATTTTATTTATTTATTTTCAAATTTTTTATTTTTTATTTTATTTTATACATCTCATTGTTTGGGAGATAATTTCCTGGGTTTTTTTAGAGTGTTGAGGTTTTTATGATCAGTCCAGACCGCGAAAGGCAATTTACCCCTTTCTAGAAAATTCTTCCAGGAGAGGATAGCCTAGCAGACTGCATAACTTCTTTCTCCCAAATAGCCCACTTCCTTTCAGTCTCGGTGAGCTTTTTGGACACGTAGGCACAAGGTAGGAGCTGTCCTTGTGGGTCCTTTGGTAGAAGCACGGCTGCCATGGCTACGTTGCTGGCGTCCGCTTGGATGACGAACTGTCGTTCTGGGTCCGGGTGTTGGAGGATCGGCTCTTTGGCAAAGAGCCATTTTAATTTTTCAAAGACTCTTTGACAGTCTATTGACTAGGCAAGCGGTTGGTTTGGCTGTGGTGTTGCGGGAGGAGGCCCTGTTTTTAACAGTACTATTAGAGGCAGGGCGACTTCTGCAAAGACTGGGATAAATTCTCTGTCTCTGTGAACCCCAAGAAGCTTTGAAGCTGTTTGCAGATGCGTGGGGGCTGCCAGTCTAGTACCGCTTTCACTTTTCCTGGGTCAATTTCCATCCCTCCACTGGATATTCGGTAGCCTAGGTAATCTAGGGAGGTTTGATGGAATTCACACTTTGACAGCTTCGTGTAGAGTTTTGCAGTGAGGAGTTTTTTCAGCACTTGCTGCTCTAGCTTTACATGCTCCTTGAGAATTTCGCTGAATATGAGAATGTAATCCAGGGCCCCTTTTTATAGGTGCTCATGCAGCATTTCTTTAATTAATTGCATGAAGACTGCTGGGCTCCCTGCAGGCCAAATGGCATGACTTTGAATTGGAAGCTGCCAAGCAGGCAGTTAAAGGCTGTCTTCCACTCATCTCCTTCTCTGATTCTTATGCGATACTAAGCTTCTCTCAAGTCCAGTTTGGTGAACACCTTGCCCTTGGCTAAATTGCTTAGCATGTCCTTAATGAGGGGTAGGGGGTAGGTGTTCTCCAGGCACACAGCATTAATTCCATGAAAATCAATGCAAAGCCTCATCCCTCCATCTTTTTTTTTTCCTTTACTGGGGATGCGACTCTGGGGATCGACTCTAGATTTTGCGAGTTGGATGAAGCCCCGAGCTAGGTTGGCGTCAATGTATTTTCTCAGTTCTTCCATCTCTTTGGAAGTCATGGAGTACATCTTTGGCTTGGGCAGCTTGGCTCCCAGCACAAATTCGATTGCGTAATCTGTCACACGGTGAGGAGGGAGGAAGTTGCACTCTTCCTCGCCAAAGACTTCCAATAGGTCTCAGTACTTTTTTGGCACCTGCAGGCTGCCGGGAAGTCCATCTGTGGTGGGGGCTGCGGCTTTCAGGTTCGCTGGTGTCATTGGGGTTTGTGGCATTTTGGCACCGATCTGGTTTTACAGGCAGTAATGGTCCGAAGCCTATGTTTAGTTTTCTATAGCCGTCCTCCCATGTGATGGTCGGTCTCCATTTGTCTAGCCACGTGAGCCCTAATATGATTGATTCAGTCACTTTTGGAGTTATGACGAATCAGCTAAGTTCTTGATGATGGCCCATTTCTAGTCTGACAAGTTCTGTGAGTAGTGTGGCCAGGGATCCGCCCATTAGTGTCCCATCGACCTGCTCGAAGCAGATGGGGCACGCTAGGGGTCTCGTGCATATGCCTAGTTGTTCCACTATGGGGAGGCTAATTAGGCATCTGGTGTAGCCAGTGTCTATGATGGCTTCCATTTCCCCTTGGGCTCCCATTTCTGGCACTACTATCCTGGTTTTGATGGTGAAGGGGTAGATGGCTTCACTTATCATTGGGTCATCATCGCTGCTGTTCCCTTCGGCAGAGTTTGGAGGGTCTTCCCTGGCTGGAGTTCCCTCGACTTCGCTGGGAAGGAGTGGAACCTCCACAGCCTGCTTGACGATTCTCCCCTTATCTGGCAGTTTCCACGGGGTCCTCCTTGCCCGGAATGTGGCTGGAGTCCGAGTTTGGGGGACCAGGGCTGGAGCCAAGCATCCGGAAGCCCGGTGCCCATGCTGACCACGCTGGTAGCATTTGATAGTCCCGGATGGTGTGGCTGTGGTGCTTCGGGCGGCTTAGCCGGCGATTGGCGACCTAGGGGTCTTCTCGTTGGTTTCTATGGGGGTGGATTTCCAGATCCATGGCCACGACTGTGCTGTACGCGTTCCGGTACCCCTCTGATGCCACAAGCTTGGATCGAGGGCCTCCTTGAAGTGGTAGACAAGGAGACGCTCCAGCCAGTTCCTCAGTTTCCCGGCCAGTCTTTGAAACTCCCAAATTAGCTCCTTGGGAGGCCGGCCAGCTTGCTTCAGCGCTTTAATTTGGGCCTCAGCTTCTACTCTGTGGGCCATGTCCTCGAACCGGCCTCGGAGCAGTTGGACAAACTTGTCTGCATCTTCCAGCTCAAAGGCTTCCTCTGTTGTGACCCAGGCCCAAGTAGTTGGTATTAAATACAAACAGTTTGAAAACAAACAGACTTTATTAGAACAGCTGAGAATTAAACTCATTCTCAGCGTAGTCCAATCTAAATTAAAGCAAATTCTTCAAAACACCATTCCTCAGTTTATCACTGACCTTGGGATAATTAGGCAAACTGCCAAAGGCTTTTCTTGGCAAAAGTTCAGAAGCAGAAGACGCCGCCAAGAAAGGAATACAATGAAACAAAAAACAAATCTCTCAATGTTGTTTTCTGGCAAAGAGGCCAAGAGTCGTTGCTGGTCTTTTAAGAGAGGGGCCAATCATCTCTTGGCCTTACTCCCGAGTCATCCTCTCTGCCTTATCTGCTCCTGCCTTCTGGGAGCTCTTCTCATATGTGCACTAGGAACAGGCTCCTCCTGTTCCTCTGCCTCTCTACTGTCAGCCTCTGGAGGCTCCAAAGTCTGCGCATCACTCCCTAATGGCCCTGGACCCGTGTCTGCTTCCGACGCAGAGCCCTCATCCGGGCCTTCCCCAGCCTCCAGGACTGACCCATGTTTTTCCTCAGCCTCATCACTGTCCAACTCCGCTACCAGCTCACAGGTTGCGGGCGGACCACAACATCCTCATCATGAAGTTCCTCTATCCATTCCGCTGTTTCTCCCTCATTCATGCCATCTGCAATAGCTGAAATCAATTTCCGATACGATGGGCATTGATTTCCATAAGCCGAGATTTAATTGAAGAAGTAGGATAGCCTTCCTTGGGTCCTTTCAAACATCGCCCTGAACCGCAGAGGGGGAGTGGCTGGCGGAGGTGGTTGCTGAGCCTGTGCAAGCTGTTGGGCTTGTGCTGGCTGCTGAGTCAGAATCTGCTGTGGGGCCACGACCGGTTGTTGGAGCTGCAGTGGTGGCTGGGCCAGTACTGGCTGTGGGCCCATGACCGGTGGCTGGAAGTGCACTGGTTTACGGATAGGCGCCAGCTGCAGGATCAGGGCAGGCATTCACTGATATTGCACCTACCCCTGGCCAGGGTAAAATGCCCACCCGGGAGGGATCTGGTCTGCTAGAGGCAGCCTGAAGACCAATTGCTGGGGTGGAGTACTTGGTTCCAATAGCCCCAGTTGTGGCCCCTGTAGTACCAGCCTGGGCTAGTTCAGTGATCTTTGTTGCTGTGCCATTCCCATTCCCGTTGTGGCTGTCACCCTGGTAGACCAGACCAATGCATGAGGCTATGGAATGAACTGCTCCGTGCCGAGTGAAAGGAGGTTAGGACCCCGCTCAGTGATTCTGAGGCTTCCTGACCCAGGAAGGTGAACATAAACTGAGCCAGAGCCCA